GCAAAAAAAAACATTGTATTTCTTTTCTGTTCTCATAATATGTGTGCATTACTCCATAAAAGATCATCCACAAATATATATATATTAGTGTTAACTCACTGATGAAGACAAATGATGGTATAGTTCATTATGAAGAAAGGGTGCATTCAAAAATAGATGTCAGTGCAGAAACGTGCGAGAAAGATAAAGGGTTATAGAAACCTTTTTTTTAATAGGCCTCCCCAGCACACTGGACTTCAGAATTAACGATTTATAAGAACATGATTATTCCATATCGTTAGAAACACAACATTTTTTACGAAACACTTCAGCTGATGGCCACGAAGCCTCAGCTACCTTAGCCCCTGAACAGGACACAAGCTGAGAGGGAAAGAGAGAGAGAGAGAGAGAGAGAGAGAGAGAGAGAGAGAGAGAGAGAGAGAGAGAGAGAGAGAGAGAGAGAGATAAGCGAGATGTGTGTCATCTCTTCTCATCGCTTACTTGCGGTCATCGTCATCAATCTCGAAGTGATCGTCGTCGTGGTCACCTGCGCTATAGAAGAGGACTCCACCGACGTTGTCATCATCGTCATCGTCAAAGGCGTCATCGTCATCGTCAGTCTCAACGATGATGGGGGACGACACAACAGTGGTACGCGGCGCAGAGTGGTACACTGTGGCAGCCGGTGCGGGTACCACCTGAGCAACGTACTGGGTAGCAGCTGGGATCGTGTATTGGGTGGCTGCCGGGATTGTATACTGGGTGGCTGCTGGAATGGTGTACTGGGTGGCGGCAGCCTGTGTGTACTGGGCGACGGGAACGGAGTACTGGACTGCTGGAGCGGCCACGGTGGCTACCGGAGCGGAAACCTGGGCTACCGTGGCAGCGTACTGTGTGGCTGGGATAACATTCTGGACGACCGGAACAGAGTACTGGACACTAGCAGTCCTCAAGGCCGGGAACTGGTATGTATACAGCAGGCCGGTTTTGCCAGCGACCACGCCGGCCAACACGAGCAGAACCTGTGGAAAAGGGGAGGGGCTAGAGAAAGGGAGAAAGCGAATGGGAGGAGAGAGGGAGGTCTAAGAAAGGAAACAAATGACAGTGAGAAATGAGAAAATTGTGTCCTGTTCTAGGACTGAATTTTTCACACACACACACATACACACCACAACACAAACACGCACACACACAAACACAAAGACACATATACAGATACACTTCTCAAAAATGATCAACGAATCAATAAACAAAAAAGTTATCTAGTACTCTTTACCACAGTAAAATAAAAAGAGAAGGACCAGAGCTAGAAGTAAACAAATCGCCAGCGACACAAAAACACTCGCTTGAGAGACACAAGCATACAAAAACAGCGACAAAAAGCGACTTACCAGAGACTTCATGATAAACGAAAACGCGACTGCGATTCTACAAGTGAAGTCCGCTTCTTATATACCCTCCTTCCCAGCTGGTGCTCGATGCCCATCCCGGGCACTCTTGTTCCCATGCCTTCCCATTGCCTCGGGGCAAAGACACGCTCGCCCCTCCCACCGCCTCTGCACCCGCGACACGCCCTGCGCTGTTACTGGGTGATTCCTCGCCGAGGCTTCCTTCCTTCGGGCGGAGAAGCGATGGGCGTGAGGTTCTATGGGCGGGTGGTGGTGCTGGCTCGTCGTCTTGGCTCTTGGCAGGGCGTGGTCGCAGCAGACACGCAGTCTCTGATATACATTTGCTGCTCGACGGTGCACGCATAAATAAATGCACAGGGACATGCAAATATTCCCAAACATATCCAACACCTACCTCCATAAAAAAGGCACACACCCTCACGCAAGACATCCATCTCCTGTACCGCCCACACCTCCACGAGCATGCAACGAAGACACAAGCACATGCAAACCGAACTTCCCACACACAAACAGCAACCCAGGACCACATTATGTATAACCTTTTGAATCGAGCATCTCCAAGGTCATTCCAACCGAGAGACCATCTGCCCGAGGCCTTTCTGACGAGGCTGCTGGGCGCTTTGGCGGGGAGCTTCCTCTTTCCATTCATTCCCACGAGGAGGCTGCTACCAACTGTCCACATGATCAAACAAACACAAGTTTAAAGAACATAATTCATCTTGCGGAGAAGGAACCTTGTCCGTGAGCAGATGTTCCCCTATGAAGCGCTGTTGGCATTTCAATTTTTTCTGGCATTACTGGTCCCGCTCACCTTGGGGGCGGCTTCCTCGCTCCGGGATCTTCGCCGAATGACGGTCATTTCGACATGCGACGCCGGATCAAAGGAAACCGTTAAATCTTATTTTGCTGCGGACATCTTTTCGTAATGCATGAACTGGTTGGTGCATCTTTAGCTTAAAAGAAATAATTGATTACTGCAAATAAATGCTTAAAATTACACATTCGTGTACGACACTACAAATACACACACACACACACACACACACACACACACATACATATGTATATATATACATATATACATACATATAAATGTATACATATATATGTAT